GTCTTTCTTCGCCGCCAAAAGAATACAAAGTACCAAACGCAATAGGTTTGTGCTTGGTGGACAACCTGATCCATCACCTTCTTCAGCCTGTTTGCCAGCACTTTTGACAGTATTTTATCATCAGTGCACAATAAAGAGACAGGCCTCCAATTCTTAATATCTTGAAGATCACCTTTCTTTGGTCACAGTGTTAGAACTGCTCTCCTGCAGCTCTGAGGTAAAGATCCTTCAGCAAAGCTCTCTTCAAAAACCTCCAAGACATTGTAAGAATAGACAATGGTAGTATTAGGGATTTAGTTGTATTAACGATAGTAAAGCATTATATTCATTATTCATTGAGTAGGTCATAGGTTGAGCTGCTAAACATTCACACATAGTACATAGAACTGGGAGAATAGGTCAGAGGTGTATGTAAGAAGCAGAGACGACACAGCTGCCGTTAGTGGGATGAGGATTTGATAAGCCAAAGCAAGGAGAACACTGTGGGCGGAGAAGTGGGCTGCAAGGGCACGAGATAGGGAGGCAGGAGATAGAGAGGGACCAGCAGGCCCCTAGATTGGAGAGACAAAGGTTGTTTATTTCTGTGTCATTCTATGCTGCTGGAATTGCCCCAGTGGATTTTGATGTTGGATGCTGAGCTGTAAAAATCTCGAAGTACATGTAATAAAATTAATTGATTAATTGATTGTTTATTTATTTAAACAGGAATTGAATTGAATATAACACTTTTTTATGATGCATTATACTGCTGATTTATAAGAAATGCTGTTTGCAGAGAATCATGGCCTTATTTGTCTGATTAGAAAGAGCAAAGCATACTGCACAGGAAGCCAAGGTCATAACTTAGGCTCACTGAGAGAGAGAAAAAATGTGAATGCTTAGTTTGGAGGGGGGCTGAAGCTATAAGAATGTGAGAAACAGTCAGACACTTCAAGATTTTGCCGGACACCCTCCTGCGCAAACACGGTGATTTGCTTCTTCCCATCGCCTACTATTCTTCTAAGCTTGACCCAGTGGCTGCAGGCCTTCCTGGATGCCTGTGTGCAGTCACCGCATGTGAAATAGTTGTGCTTGCCTCCTGCAACATTGTTGAGTATTCCCCTTTGACCGTGCAGGTACCCCATGCAGTTTCTGTTATTTTGCTAGAGCTAAGAACCTCACACTTGTCTAAGGCTTGCTGGCTCAGGTATTCTTCTATGTTGTTTGATATGCCTAACATCACATTGAAGCACTGCACAACACTGAACCCTGCCACTCTCCTTCCTACACAAGAGGGTGGTGAGCCACACGGCTGCATTGCTGTGTTGGCCGAAACCTGTACACCTCGCGTTGACTTGCTATATGCTCCTCTTGGCAATTCGGAAATGGTGTTGTATGTGGATAGCTCCTCCTCACGTGATTCAGGAGGAACCAATTGGGTGGGTTTTGCTGTGTGTTCTGATCATGACATTCTTGTGTCAGGCTCGCTGCCCAAGCATTTCTCTGCACAGACTGCGCAACTTGTGGCATTGACAGAAGCCTGTAAACTTGCTGAGGGTCATTCTATCACTATCTACACTGATTCTCGCTATGCGTTTGGTGTGGTGCATGACTTTGGCACCCTGTGGAGACATAGGAAGTTTCTGAAATCTAATGGATTGCCCATCCTGAATGTAGACCAGGTAGCAGCGTTGCTGGATGCCTTCTTCTACCTGCTCGCATTGCTGTGGTGAAGTGTCCAGCACATACAGATAATACTGACTGTGTCTCAAGGGGAAATGCTGCCGCTGATGCCAAGGCAGCTGCCTCGGGGGGGCTGTCTTTTCAGCTTGTTTTAGCTTCATTGCCCACTCCTGACCTTACTGACCTTTCTGTTTGGCATTTTTCTCACGGCCGCCCATGCCCGCCTAAGCATTTTTTCCCTTGGTTTCTTAAGTGGGCACACGGGTTGGACCATGTGTCCAAAGGGGGGATGCTACAGGCAGTAACAAAGCTGTGGTTCACAAAAGGCTTTTCTGCAGCAGCTGGACATTTTTTTTGTATAAAGTGTCTCATTTGCATGACCAATAATGTGGGACGTACAGCTCATGTAGACATCCATGTAGACATGGATTTTATTGAACTAACACCATCAGAGGGAAAGAAGTATTGTTTAGTGGTGGTGGACATGTTTTCCAAGTTTAGGTTTAGGTTGCGAACACATTGTGCATATCACCCACAATACGGAGGTGCCATGGAAAGAGTGAATGGCTCTTTGAAAACAAAATTGGCAAAGTGCTGTGAAGAAACTGGACTTTCATGGCCAAAAGCACTCCCCCTTGTGTTAATGCACATACGCATGCGGGCCAGACCTCCAACACATCTCAGGCCTTATGAGGTGTTGTATGGGTGCCCTGCTATAGTGGGGGCAGAGCCTCCAAAGTGGTGAGCCATGTCCACAGAACTGTGTGACAGTGAAATGATTGCGTATTGTCAAAATCTCTCTAAGACTCTCTCGCAGATACACCAAAACGTGAAGGCAGCCATGCCTAAACCAGCAGAAGGACCATTGCACCCGTTTAAGCCAGGCGACTGGATGCTGGTGAAAGATTTCAAGAGAAAGCACTGGAAGGCAAGGTGGTGGCTCAGTCCATTCCAAGTTCTGCTGACCACGCAGACAGCGGTAAAGGTTGGGGAACGAGTTACCTGGATCCACGCCAGTCACTGTAAGCTGTTTCCAGAGGAATCACCTGGGGAGGCGGGAGAGCGACCAGGTGAAACATACGGGGCAGAATGATCCCTGCACCTCATCCAGGCAGTACGCAGTCCAGCCTCTAATTGCAACAATGCGTCATACTGAGAAGCAGCTCATCATTGGAGTGGCCCTGCTGCTCTTCACCGGGCTGATGATTGCCCTGTTGTGGAGCCTCTGGGGTGATCCGCAGAACCGACCTGGTATCGGGTTCTTTGGAGTATGGGACCAGGTGGTTGGACAGCAACCCCCAGGGCTGGTTTCAGTCATTATGCAAATGTACTGTTTATAAGATTGGGGAATCCTGCAGTCAGCTGAGACTGAAGAAGTCACTTGGATGAGTGACGAAACGTTTCTCCCAGAATACGCAACGTCCAGATGAACAGAATCAACTTTTGGAGACCCAGGGTAGGTAGTTTCAGTACACGGGCGTAGATGTATTACTCACTGACTAGGGCTGAGGTGGGAGGAGACGCAGCCACAGGAAAGGTAAAACCATTGATTTTAACAATAAAAAACACAACAAAACTTTGTTTTGACATAAGTTGTGAAAGCAGCGGATGGACTTATTTCAACTTGGGGGTAGATGTCGGGGGTGCAGATCCACTGGGGTTGTTTAGTGTGAAATTTGGGATGGCCACACCAAATGCAAAGGTAACCAAGAATGCAACCTCAGCACATGCACCTCTGGAGCTGTCAGTTAGTAACTTATTTAAACATAACTGGACCTGAGGACGTGGTGCAAAAAGAGACAGGTTATGTAGCTAAGAATGTGTGGCTGGATTGGATAACTCAGCGGTCCCCAACCTTTTTTGCGCCAGGGACTGGTTTATCCCCGACAATATTTTCACAGACCGACCTTTAAGGTGTTGCGGATAAAAACAACAAAATAAAACTAGTACCGGTACCGAAAAAAAGAAGATTTATTCATAACACACGTGAAAAGACCCAGGAAAACCGAATTAACGATAAAAACGATAACAAAATAACGCTGAAAACCAATAAAAGCCCTGAAAACCATACATTTCACACCTGAACCTCAACTCTCGGAGCCCAGTACCAAACGACTCACGGAGGCCCGGGGGTTGGGGACCGCTGGGATAACTTACATAGCTGGAGGGCATTATACAGCAGTTGTTTTTATTGCTCTCAATTTTGACAGCCCTATTAAAGATTAATATCAGTCTGTACATGCTCAAGATAGCTTTTCTTTAAATTATTTAATTCTCACTCACTTTTGCAACTTTGTACTTTTGTGTCACTCGCAGCAACAACTCCACCTCATTGTTAGTCCATTTAAAAAACTCAGTGCTTTTCCTCGATCTTTTGCCGCGACGTTTCAACAAGCCGGAAAATAAACAAATGGCTGACAGAAATGGGGCAGGTCGAATCTTCTTGTGCTTCACGCATGTGCAGTACTGGAACGTAAGCGTGTCAATGTGGACACACAACTCTGTGAAAACAACTGAAAACGATAGTGTGTACGCGGAGCGTTTTCAGACGAAAATCTATCCGGGCTAGTGTGGACGTAGTCTCAGTACCCTCTTCCCGGTAGTTAAGAAGGGTGTTACTTCCCCTGTGTTTTCTCCTAGGGCCAGAAACTACACATGTTTGACCAGGGTAAGTGTTACCCTAATAAGCATTCAGGTGAGTCATGGTGTGATAAGGTGATAAATGTTACTGAATGGACAAATATGAGCAGCATTAATGTTGCTCGTGCTGACCTGTTCTGGTGGTGTGGTGACAAGATTCTGAGGGACACCCTACCACGTGGCTGGTCAGGAGCTTGTACTATTGTAAGATTGGCACTCCCTATAGTGATCTCATGCTACTGCAGAGACCCATATGGGTAGGACCCGCAGAGCCACGTCAAAATATTTTGATTTAACTAAAAACTCCCCAACTTACATAGATGCTATAGATGTTCCTAGAGGTGTTCCTGATGAGTATAAATTGGCCAACCAGGTCGCAGAAGGGTTTGAGTCCATCTTTCTATGGATAACCCCAAATAAGAATGTAGATTGGATAAAATACGTTCATTATAATATTCAGCGACTGCCTAATTTGACACGGGATGCAGTGGCGGACCTATCTGAACAGCTGGCCGCCACTTCCCTAATGGCCCAGCAAAATAGGATGGCTTTGTATATGCTTTTGGCTGAGAGGGAGGGTGTTTGTACTATGGTAGGTCCTCTGTGTTGTACTTTCATCCCTAATAACACAGCTCCAGACGGCCCTGTAACCAGGGCACTGGAAGGGTTGAGGACACTGTCCACCCAAATGACAGAGGACTCTGGTATAAATAATCCCTTGAATGACTGTTTTCTTTTGCAATTATTTTGGTAAGTATAAAACCATAGTGGTGTCTTTGTTGATGTCCATAGCCACATTTTCTGCCATACTTACATGTTGTGGCTGTTGTTTCATCCCGTGCCTTCACACCCTATAGTGCATAAGTTGATCACAACTATGCTGACAAAAGAGGATGAGACTCCTAAATTTCAGGCTGAAGATAGGGACAGTGATGAGGTTAGTGAGAGTGAAGATGAGCATTGAGGTGTGAAATTGATCTGTGCTTTTGTGGGGGGGGGGTTCTTTTTTTTCCTTCCTGACCTATAGAATGATGCACATTGTGAAATCTCTTTTGAGAGTATAATGGTGTTGATGTTATGTACAGAAGTTGGGAAAGAAATTTCTATGTTTGATTAATATTGTGATTTGATGGGGTTGTTATCACAAAGGGGGGAATTGTACTGGAAATCTCTTTATTTTATGTATTAATCGCATCACTTTAGTAATAGTAGTAATGCTTTCTCAACTCAATGTAGAATAATCACTCTTGACACCAGTTGTATGCATGTAAAATGTTATCGAGTGGGCCACAAGGTTTATTGCCTTCTCACAGTGAACCCATTGAAGACTTAAGGGTCTCCAGACATCCTGTTCTAAAGGAGGTGACAGTTGATCTGTCTTAGACTAGGAGAGGGTCAAGGATGAGCTGGACTGAAGAGACTGAAGAGGTGTAAAAGGGTTCAGGGTAGTGTCTTTCCTCAGAAAAACTGGTTTGATCTGAACCCTTTTCTCCACTGCAGTGTTTTTCTTTTCTTTTTAACCTAACTTCAGAAGACATGCTCACCTGGTGGTGCAATTTTATATGAGATTTTCCGTGACAGCAGGTTTCCTCTACCTTGTAAACAGTACCCTTGCACAATTACTGAAACTTGCACCACTGACGACCAATCGCCTGCGAGTCCATGAGCATTGATCACCATTAATTTATCAAAGACCACTCATCAGTGACCACTGGGTGGAATAGTAGCTCATAGTCAAAGTAGTCATTTATTTTAATGGAATCTCTTCCTTCCTTATGTCACCATCTATTTTCTGAGCACCCTAATTGCACAGCAAAGGTAAGGTAGAGGCCAGTTCCATTAAGAGATTTGATTGGGAATTCCAGTCCATTGGCTCATGTCAGTGCTCACTTACTACCAGGTACATGCCCAGTATGCCAGAAAAAAATAAAATAAAATAAAAAACCCTGTATTTTAACAAACTCAAAATTCTGTAAATAAAAATACAGTAAATGAAAAATACTAAAAATCTTGCTACTGTAGACGTTGGGAAAAAAAAGCTGTAAAAAAGTTACTGTAAAAACAAAGTTACTGTAAAAAGTAGCTATATTGTAACAGAAATTTCAGTAGAGTTACTGTAAATACATAAGAGCGTATTGCTCTTATGCATAACAGCAGTAAGCATGCAGCAGCTATCAGTAAGTCATTAATCAAATTTACAACTCTACATTATGTCTGTTTACACTGTAGAGTTGGATCATTAGACAGATATATTGGCTAGGTGTAATGGTTTTTCAAGTACATTCTGGCTCTTATTTTACCCCAACAAACATTATATTTATAACAAATCTAACAATTCACTGTGATAATTTTTTTGCAAGTTGTTTTACTCATTAATTGTATTCCAACAAATAAGAGATGTCTAACTGAGGCAGGAATAAGCACTCCCACTAGTGTAGAAAGGAAATTTAAAGAAAAACGGGTACAGATAAAAGACGAAACAAACACGATTTAGCAAAGTCTTGCAAAATAGTTCTTGGATGCTTACCAGACCTCTGTGAATGACCATCTGAAAAATGGAACACAAAGATAAACATGA